AACACAACATGGTAACCTAAGTATGAGCTTAAGGCCGTAAACCCATGAGTTTACAACCGTAAATTCATTTGTTAGTGTTATTAGGGCCGTGAACTTCATGGTGGAGTTTTCCTTGAGCCCTACACACAATAGCTTCCCCTACAAACACTTAGATGCAATCCTGGAGGCTAATAACACTTGATAAAGGTGTTTAGCATGTCCTAGGGTGTCTTGACTTGTTTATTAGTTGTATATAAACTAATTTGTTACATATTTGTGAATTTATATGTTAACTAGGACCATAGAGTGTGTTCAAGACTTCACTTGACACCTAGCAGTCCTACCTCTTCAGTTCATTCTAATCACTTACAATAGGTGAGTTCATACCCCTTAATCAATGTTTTAAATGTTTTTAAATGTTTTATGGGGGGAGGGGGGATACAAGTAGAATCATGCTAGTTATTATATAAAATCACATGTGATTAATAAGCAGCATTCAAATGACTTACTACACATTAGCTGTTTTACCAAACAGTTGTTACTCAAAGGATTTTCATATACGTTTTATATGTTTAAAACTCATGATTTAATTGTTCATTATACACTGTATGTTTCAATTCAAACTCATTACAATTGTGTTTCAAACAAATGTTTCTTTGTATTTAAAACTATTTTGTTGGATAAATACCTCCAACTTGTTATAGATTGACATCAAGTCAATCCTTTCTTAGATAGTAATCATGTTCAAAAGGTTTTACAAAACTTATTTTATGCTTTTATAATATAAATTGCATGCCTATATATGTATATTTATATAAGAAATGTTTAAAAGACTTACGAAGGCTATCCATCCTATTTCTTTTTCGCGCTTGAGATGTGGTCTGGTGGGATATCGGGTACCCGTTCGAAGGTCGTTTAAATATTAGTTATATATCACGTGTACATATATAGTCATAAAGGTTCTTCCAGTTCATTTGATACCCTTGGGTAGCAAGGGTATACTTCCATGTTTATACGTACCAGTTACATTACTAGTAAGCTACCATATGGGTAGTTTAGGAAGATACTAGAAATATTACTAGAACACGATATCATACAATGAGTCAGTTCATTCATGAGTCAATACTTGCTAGATAGAGAGAGAACATACATTACAGCTAGTACACACAGTACATTACTATACATGCTAGATAGAGAGAGAACATACATTACAGCTAGCACACGTAGAACATTTCAGTACATACAGGCTAGATAGAGGAAGATTACACTTTTAGTTAGCACATTTATTACATATACGTTTATGCCGTTATGTGAACCATAGAACGGGTCATGGCACTTCCTGCCACGACCGTTCTTGTATCCCGAATCTCCTTAATTGGAGAGTGTATGAGTTTGCATATAGATCTATACTGGATTGACTATCCTACACCTTGTTGCTCGCTACAGTGGGACTTGCAAGTCTACGGGTGCCAAATGTCATTTCTTACGGCGTCTTACATCGTCGTTTTACTAGAGTCAGTAGCAGGATATAGGTCGATCACATGTTATATTGAATACCTTTTTGTTTTAAGGTAGTTAGTACAGTTGTAGTCATATGATACTACAACATAGTACTATTTCATTTTCCCCTTCACATTCACTTCGTGAACATTCACACGATGCACGATAATGTAGAAACTATATTTTTGATTAATTATAGTCAGAGTTGGGAAAATACAAACTCTTACAAGAGACACACACATGGATACTAGATGCCTTGGTAGAAGGATACAGTTAGTAGGAAACATAGGGTTTTCTAGGATGTTCATTTACATACAAATATTTACAGTTCATTCATACAAATACTTACATTTCAAATTCCATACAAGTACTTACATACAAATTAAGACACTAATATACTTATGATCTCACCAGCTTCAAAGCTGATACTCGCTTTCAAAATTACTTGTATCCTCAGGTCATCAATAGATAGGTACTGATGCAAGGTTTAGAGAAGATGGAGCTCGTTCAAGACTCATCTTTCATTTTGATTTATGCATTAGTGTCTATTATAATTTAACATAACACACTTGTTTAATAATTATATTATTAATGCAATGGACTATGTTGTTGCTTGTTTACTACTTTTCATTGTTGTGATACTGTACATGACGTCCTCCGCCCCAGAACGTTTCCGCCGTTCAATGGTTTTGGGGTGTGACAATACCACTGTTGGGTTTTGAGAATTCTAACACTCCTAAGTGTACATGCAACCCTAAATACCTTGGATCTATGTTTTCTCTATTATACATGCAAATATGAATATTCCAAGGTATTACCCTAAGTAGTATACAATCTTTTGATACTTGGGTAATAACAAGTTAGAATACATACCACTTGATGTAGCCTAACTCTATGGAGCTTGAGAGCCTAGTGCCCTAAGTGTGACACCTCAACTGGTTCACACAACATCACGAACACATGGAATAACCATTAGAAGAAGACACTCCATGCTCAAATCGGCTAGCCCTCACATATGTATCACTAGTGCCAATTTCTTGAGCTAAATGGATCCTTATATAGTATCCACATTAGGGTTACACCGTGTAACCCATGACTTTGCCCATTCCTTACACTCCATGGGTTTTAACCTCCATGGAATATCCATGGGTCACCACATGGTTTAAACCCAACATAAGGAACCATGGATCATAAGCCTACATATATAAGAATGAACGATTTACACAATCAATCCCCATATATTTAATTAGTCTCTTTTGATCACTAAATTAAGTCCAAATTAATTCTTGATCAATACTAATTAAATAACATGATTTCATATTAATATATTAGAACTTATAATATATTAATATGTCACAAATAACTTCTTCTCATAAACGGTCTATCCAAATGTTCCGATGCCATGCAACCCAAATGGACCATGCCAGGTTGGGTCAAGTCTTACCAATTATAGTTATGGACTTAAACATTAATCCAACAGATATTACCCTAATTAAGCCAGTTACACTCATTACACGTTTATTGGACCTTACGACACACACTACGTTAACAAGACCTACAACAAATAAATACTTGACATTTCGATAAAAACAAATTGTATTTATCACAAATGTTTCGTAATCGATTACATACTCGAAGCATTTTTTTTAAATATTAAATAATGTGATACGCTGTTCGCGTAAGTTTAGTTAAGGCTCTTGTGAGACATTTCCATGATTTGTACCTATCTAGTATACACCATAAGTCCTGTAGTTATAACCAATGTCTCCTGGAATGAGAGTGAGAGTTTGTGTATAGATCTATACGGGGTTGACACCCCACGGTAGAGTTGTTTTCTGCAGATAGACTAGACTAGTGTAGGGTGACAAATATCTTACCTTAAACAAGCGACATTTGAAGAACGTCAAGACAGGCATAACAATCACATCAAGCATGGTTATAACGAATCACATAAAGATTAACAACGCAATACATTTACGGAATTCACATAATATACTCTTGATACATTGTACGAACTATGCTTTTACTACATTTCTCGGGTCTTATGGATTTTAAGACTACAATGCTTTTACCAACATAAATATCAGGTTTCCTAGAAACTAGATACAACACATTATAGTATACAAACAACAAAAAATATAGGATTTTCTGGAACACTCCGTTTTTATACATTGTCAAAAACAAAAACATACATGCTATAGTACAAGATTTGAGACAAAACTTCCAAACCGTTTTTACAGAAAATATCATATTTTTTGGTGTTTAAAAAGTAATACAAAGTTTTCATACAAACATGCTTATGAACTCGCCAACATTTATATGTTGACGCTTTTCAAAATCGCTTGTATTCTCAGGAACTCAGTAGGTAGGTATAAGAGCCTCAGACACGGGATATTTTGCTGCATTTTGGGAATCGTTTACTAATGTCACTTTTGTTGTAATATGAGAGCAAATACACTATGTAAAACATTGTAAGTTTGATATCTCAATGTATGATGTCTGGATTGTTGTGTTTCATTTATATACAACTAGGTGTGAGCCCCGTGTATTACACGGGTTTATTAAAAAAAGTTGAATATAAAATAATAAGGATCAAGTTTTTCAATATATCTACCCTAATAAATGAAAACTAATTTCTTTGTTTACAATTGGATTTCATAACATTTTTTGTTTTGAAAAAGTTATTGTATAAGTGAAAATTATGATATGTAAAAATTTAATTATGGAAGAATTGATTATTGTCTAATTTGTAGTTATACGTTTTTTTGGTATGGTTATTAAAATTTAATTTAATGATTCTACATAACATAAATAAACTCGCATAAAATATGGAATTTACTTTTAAATTTAAGAAAATTGAAAGCACAAGAAAATACCAAGTGGAAAAAGAAAAAATCAAAAAATCCTACAAAATGACATGTGTCAAACTAAATGAGAACATGATATTTGGAAAAACCATTTTCATTTATTAGGTTATATTTGTAGTTGTACGTTTTTTTGTTATGGTTATTGAAATTTAATTTAATGATTCTACATAACATAAATAAACTCGCATAAAATATGGAATTTACTTTTAAATTTAAGAAAATTGAAAGCACAAGAAAATGCCAAATGGAAAAAGAAAAAAACAAAAAATCCTACAAAATGACATGTGTCAAACTAAATGAGAACATGACATTTGGCAAAACCATTTTCATTTATTAGGGTAGATTGTTACGATACTATACAAAGACATCACCCGCCTCCGGGTGTTTCCGTTGTCCCGGTCCAGGGGTGTGACACTTTATCTTTGGCACTCTTGCACAAAATCCATGTGATATTTCAAAGTCTGGTTCTAATTCCGATTGGTTACTTTAATTCAGAGAACGTGTCTTGGTCTCAAAGCTGGTGAATTTTTTTGATGATTCCAAATGTGTCTATTTCGAAACGATAGTTTCTTGGAGATGAAAATTCAAATCAGGCACGAATTTTGAATTCCCTGACATACGCGTGTCTGTTACAATGGTATCGGACACTTGTTGATGCGTTGGGTACGATTTTACAAGCTGATTTTGCAGGATACAGGAAGGTGGAACGATGGTTTTCTCTTTCCACTCACCACATGCTGTATAAAAGGGTTTTTGAATGGTTCAATTTCTCTCACTGCATACACTATTATCAAAACCCTCATAGCATATCTTTTGGTGAATCCATGGCAGGTTCATTTGAAAACATCTCCTTCACCGATCAATCTTCATTTGTCATCATGCTCACCGCGAAGCATGACCAAAACTTGATTCTTGATCTTGATTCATCATGTTACAGTGAAGCTCTTAGGCCGATGATTGAATGCCTAAAGTTCACGCCACTGACTCAGGCGTTAACAATGGAGGAATCTGTTCCACTAGTTCATCTCTTGAAGGCATATTCTTCTGCTATCTACAACAAAGCAGAAGATATCATCCACTTTGAGGTTGTTTATCACAATACCTCCATCACTAAGCCCCATTTCAGCAAACTTCTAGGGCTCACTTTACCAAAAGTTAATGTGGATCCAGAGTCGATTCACACTATTGTTCAAGAGTTTCTCCAAGAGGGTTGCAGGTTCAAATAGCGCAAGTAAATTGTTCTACATTCTTATCTACAGGCTATTTCATGGGGTGAATCTCGATTATGAGTCTATTCTGTGGTCCCAACTCATTTAGAGCACCATCTCTTCTACTCGACGCACAAAGATTTATTGTGCATTATTTTAGTCAATTATGGTCAGTGGTGCCCTAGGCCACTTCAAAGTTCCCTTGATGACTGATTCGGTAATGGCGGCCATTCCAACACTCCAAACGTCCACATTTTTTATGCCGGATCCAAGAAATTTCACTTTTGTTGGCTCAATTCCGGATGCTATGTTGGAAAAGGTTCCTCTCAAAAGTGCCATAGTGAGGTAATATCAGAGTTTTCCATCTTCAGGTGTTCAACCAATGCCTGTTGACTTACGAAAGCTGATAAATGAGGGAAACAAAGCGAAGTGGGGAGGAAAGTGAAAGACAAAAGCAACTCCTTCTAGAACTGTTTGTAACAACCCGTTATTTCAGATCAATGTAAGTCTAAAATACAATAGTATGCAAATGATTTAACATTATAACATATATACAGTAAGAACTTTGAATGCTACAGGGCATGTTTATATAAGTTATTATATAAACATACTTTGAAAACCATACTCCAATGAATTATATATAATGAAACATATATTGATTTAAGTTCTAGTTCAAATAAAGGGGCTTATACTTAACATAAAATATGAAAATTTAAAGTGTGTATAGTGTTTACGATTTAGGGAATATTATCCCAAAATCAAACTGTGAACACCCCCTTTGGAATAAAGCAAACCGTGAACACCACCTTTGGAATAAAGCAAACCGTGAACTTATACATTCTAGAAAGCCAAATCGAAAACCTTTCACTCTTTGACTCAAAACCATAAACCCTCTTTCTAGTTGACCTTTAGACCGTAAACACTTCCTTTATGGAATTGTATGACCATAAACCCCCTCTTCTTTGACATTAAGGTCCGGAAACTCCATTTTCTTTTGATCTAAACTGTAAACACTTCATTTTTGGGAGTGTAGGACAATAAACTCTTCAAATATCTTCATATCTTATCCAAAGTTAACTTCCTAATGTGATTACCATCGTAAACCTCACATTCACCGCCTCATGAGTTTCCTTCATATTTAAGATACAAATGAATTCATTTGACACATACAGTAAACTCATTTCACTCATATGCTCTCAAACTTTCATAAGAACTTATCTTCAATTAGTAAGATACAAACAGTTACCCAGAAATCATCAAACCTTCAAACTTTCATAAGAACTTATCTTCAATTAGTAAGTAATTTATACAAACTAGTGTCAGCTATCATGTTAAATTATTATATATCTAATTTATGCATATAATTATGTGTAAAATATAAATAGGATATGGTTAATTACATGTATTCTACCCCGGGAATCATCACAACCACATCGAATCTAACCAGAAACTCACACTCAATGTGTGTTCATACCCCTAAATTTTCATGGTTTTTCACTGTTTTAGGGGCAGAATACAAGTGTAACACAAGAAAATTGTGTTAATATATAAATTTTTTCAATATTTATTAATTGTTGCCGTTAATAAAATTATATATTTATATACATATAAATTATATAATTAGGATTCAACAGACTTAGAATTAATAATTTGGCTCCATTTCATGTTCCTTGTTTGGTTGTGAGATTCGGGTAGAATTTTTTATTCGACTTTCTGTTTAATCTAAACTATATAAATATTATATTTATATAAGTATAAATTCATTTTAAACTTGTTAAAAAAATATAATTTTTGCAAACTATTTTAATACCATTTGGGTATAAATATTGAATTACACGGGACACCCGTATCATATATTTTTGATTTAAACTTACCAAATTATTTACAATACAAAAGTTCTAATTTTAGTAAAGACAAAATTGCAAAAATGGTCCCTGTTGTTTGCCGATTTCTATGGGTAAGGTCCAAAAAAAAGTTTTCTAGCAAAAAAACGTCCTTTTTTGATGTTTGAGCTGTGGATTTGGTCCCTGCCTCTAACTGCCGTTAGAGGCATTCCGTTTTCTTCCCCACGTGCAATGCACGCAAGGGAATTTTTGTCCTTTCATTTATGGGATTAAATTGCAATCTAATTTCTCGATTTAACCATGAATTTAACTCATCTTCCCCAACGACTCTCTATGCGAAAATGGTAACGATCATATGCTTCTATGGCAACAATTCTGTGTTGCACACATCGTGGACTCCACTCACTCCATGTCGACGGTTCTACGCATGCCCTCTACTGGTAAAGTAGCGTTCTAATTTTTGCAATCAAACACCTTATTGTTGCCCTAATTTTGTGTGCTTCATCTTAGAAAGGACTCAAAATGTCGATTCCTTGGATGGTTTGATCCTCCAATATGTGATCGTGCTAAGGCTATCATCCCTAGTCTACTAAAGAGCATGAATAATTTGAAGCTTTCAGTGAAAGAGTTAGAAGATGAAATTCAGAATTTGAGGTTTTACCTGAAGATGGTAGTGAAAGAATTAGAAGATGAAGTTTGTAAATTGAAGTTCTACTTGTGGTGCAGTTGGATTTTTTTTCTTGTTTTCTAGATGTGGAATTAGGGATTAGGGTTAAGTTCTACCTACAGTGCTAAGGTTTTTTTAGGATCTTATTGTTTTGATGAATAGGCCTTTGTATACTATAATGGTCATTTCATGATCCTTGTACCTCGAATTATAATGTATGGAACATTATCTTATTTAATTATTATTATTGTGGAGACTGTAATCGTAATACAATACAGGAAATGGTATTAAGAAAAGTAGAATACCATTTTGGAACTTACTAAGTGTTATTGAATCATAAGATATAATCCAAATAAGTCAATGCAAATTACAATACCATTGCACATAACCAAAATCAATTTTCATTATAATATCCAAGTGTAACAAAAAAGAAGAAACAACATGAGTTTTGGAATTGCAAAATAACTTAACATACTAATAACTGTTAAAACAACCAACATATGTCATTTTCTTAAACAAATTAACCAAAATATGATTTAACAACTTAACATTACACTTAACCATATGAACTACTCTTGACCATGACCCTCATTAGCCCATCCACCCTCCTGTTGACCTACACCTTGACATTTATATGTCCTTTTGTAGTGACCTTTTTGTTTGCATTTACCACAAGTGGCACTCCCAAATTTCCTACTAAGCTTCTCCACTTCTTTGGATCCTTGAGTTTGACTTTGACTTGCTATCACACTTTCAATTTGACTGGAGTTTTCCTTTTGGCTCATTCTCTTCTCCATGGACTGTCTTCTTTTCTTCTTTGGCCTTCCAAGCATTTTTTGGTATGGATGTGGGATAATTCTAGTGGGACAATCACTTTTACACCACATTACCCTACCTTTTATAGGTTCAACTTTAAAGTCATATACATCCTTCCAAGTATCCAGTAAATAAAGTTTGTGTACCCAAGTGTACAACTTCCCTACCATTTCCCCATTGTCTGTCATGTCACTCCAAGTGGCTATGGCATGCCTGCAAGGGATTCCTGTCAACTCCTACTTCCTACACATGCATGTCATCTGGTTAATGTTCACAACATGTTGATCATTCCACGGTCCATCTACCTGATACTTTCCACCACCATTCCACCTTACAATATACTCAGCTGCTTGTTGCTCATTCTTCTTTAACAATTTGGTTGCAGTAGGTATGAGAGGACCTTGGCATTTTCTTTTCTCTTTAAGCACATTGCAAATCCTCTTCATCCGATATTCCCTTATAAATTCCAAGCATGTAATGATTGGCTTGTGCCTTCCTTTCTCCAACTTACCATTCAGAACTTCACACATGTTATTTAGAAGCACATCTGAGATGGCCCTAGCTGCATAATCCACAATTAAAATCATTGGCCAATAAAAAATAGTTGCATATCAACTAACAAGATCAATTTTATTTACCTGTAAAATAGCTTTTTGCCCAATGCATTGGTCATATTTTTTTCAACCAATCATGTGCAGCCCTGCCATACTCAGCTAACTCCCTCATTGTAGATTGAAACTCTTGAACTGTGGTTATTGTTTCACACCTCCAAATAAACTCCTTGTACTCCCTAACTCTCCACTATTTCCTCATGTTTTAATGGATGTGTCTTAAACAATACCTATGCTTAGAACATGACCTAGTACCCTCTCTTGGCTTCCAGTTATTTGTTCTCCTCATTTCTGGAGAAAATGATTTTGATTCACCTCTATAAACCACAAGTGGTAATGATGAACTACAACTTTCATGTTAGGGATCATGAACTATTTTTTGTTTTCGTTGTTTTGGTTCAATTGCCACGTCATCTTCTTCATTTAGTTATTCAATGACAACACCATTACTCTTATTTGGTGACATGAAGTATGTAACCAAGTTGGTTGTGCCATGCTCAATATACACCTGGATCACCTTATTATCTCATTCCTTATAAATTCCAAGCATGTAATGATTGGCTTGTCCCTTCCTTTCTCCAACTTACCATTCATAACTTCACACATGTTATTTAGAAACACATCTGAGATGGCCCTACCTGTATAATCCACAATTAAAATCATTGGCCAATAAAAAATAGTTGCATATCAACTAACAAGATCAATTTTATTTACCTGTAAAATAGCTTTTTGCCCAATGCATTGGTCATATTTTTTTCAACCAATCATGTGCAGCCCTGCCATACTCAGCTAACTCCCTCATTGTAGATTGAAACTCTTGAACTGTGGTTATTGTTTCACACCTCCAAATAAACTCCTTGTACTCCCTAGCTCTCCACTGTTTCCTAATGTTTTCATGGATGTGTCTTAAACAATACCTATGCTTAGAACATGACCTAGTACCCTCTCTTGGCTTCCAATTTCTTGTTCTTCTCATTTCTGGCGAAAGTGATTTTGATTCACCTCCCTAAACCACAAGTGGTAATGATGAACTACAAATTTCATGTTAGGATCATGAACTATTTTTTGTTTTATTTGTTTTGGTTCAATTGCCACTTCATCTTCTTCATTTAGTTCTTCAATGACAACACCATTACTCTTATTTGGTGACATGAAGTATGTAACCAAGTTGGTTGTGCCATGCTTAGTATACACCTGGATCACCTTGTTAGCTCCATAATATTTAGCTAGGTTACACACATCTTGATCATTATCTAGAGCTCTAAGGCCAAAAATCAAGTCTTCATTGGGAATCGTGAAGTGATAATATATTACTGGGGGAACCACGTATCCTAGTTCTAGCATCATAGCGTCGAGTTCATGCATTGAAAACTCATCTATATCAACTAAATTAATATATGTAAGTTTCCCCTTAACATATCTTACATTTGGAAAAGGTGTGAACTTCCCACCATGACGAAGTTCAATAGTGAACAAATGGGGATGATCGACTATCCCAAACAACAAAAAATACAAAATGTAGTTAGCATATAGTGTGAAATTTCAAAATATTTAAGTTAAAAAAGCTATAATAACACTCACCATACAAATCAGTGCATCAAACACCATTGTTGAAGGACGTATAGGCACAGTGAATGCACCATTTTTTCCTTTTACCTACTGGATTGCAGTTCAGCTAAAGAAAAGATTCGCGGTGGAAATCGTTGACTTAGGGTTCGAACATCAAAGGAAATTGAACAAGGAAGAATCCGGAGTGTCTAATGTTTTTGGGCACCATTAAATATGCGGTAATAGATGAGCATTCCCCCCCCCCCCCCCCCCCCAAAATGAAAGGAAAAAAATACCCTCGTATGCATGGCACGTGGGGAAGAAAACGGAATGTCTCTAACGGCAGTTATAGGAAGAGACCAAATCCACAGCTCAAACAACAAAAAAGGACGTTTTTTTGCTAGCAATTTTTTTTGGACCTTACCCACAAAAATCGGCAAACCACGAGGACCATTTTTGCAATTTTGTCTTTAGTAAAACACAAACATATAAACTATAATAGGTATAGTTTATGGAACTTACATGTTACATTTCAAAGTTCATATTACAATAAGGAAAACAAACATACAAACTATAATAGACATAGTTTGTAGATCATATATACTACTTTACATATTAAGAATAACCTACGGATAAAAAACCTATAAACTATATTCAATATAGTTTATGAGATATGCTTATAGTTTATCCATTACAAAGTAACTTGTTACAACTAGGAAATTCGATGCCTTGTAAACATGGAACAATGATAAAAAAATGTGAACAAACAATGTGAAAGAATGTAAGATGCTTATTTCCAATAACAACAAACTTCAATCAAAAACTTCATACAAGTACTGTAAATAGTCAACAAAGAATTGGAAACCTTGGAAATCCCAGTTTAAGTCCATTATGGACTAGAATTTCCTTATTGGATCCAATGGGCCAATAAGCTTCCAATTTGACTATCTTGAACCTAGAACTCTCAAATGGTACCTAATTCGACTCATATACATGAACCACAATACAAACTATAATAGGTATAGTTTATGGAACTTACATGTTACATTTCAAAGTTCATATTACAATAAGGAAAACAAACATACAAACTATAATAGACATAGTTTGTAGATCATATATACTACTTTACATATTAAGAATAACCTACAGATAAAAAACCTATAAACTATATTCAATATAGTTTATGAGATATGCTTATAGTTTATCCATTACAAAGTAACTTGTCACAACTAGGAAATTCGATGCCTTGTAAACATGGAACAATGATAAAAAAAATGTGAACAAACAATGTGAAAGAATGAAGATGCTTATTTCCAATAACAACAAACTTCAATCAAAAACTTCATACAAGTATTGTAAATAGTCAACAAAGAATTGGAAACCCTAGACATCCCAGTTTAAGTCCATTATGGACTAGGATTTCCTTATTGGATCCAATGGGCCAATAAGCTTCCAATTTGACTATCTTGAACCTAGAACTCTCAAATGGACCCTAATTCGACTCATATACATGAACCATAATACTTTTGGGCCATAGGAGCCCAAAAGATACTAAGTTAACTTAAATTGGCCTTAATGGGTCACAATCGATTTAATTTAGCCTTAATAGGTCATAAAAATCATATTTTTATTTATTTGGGCCAAAAATCACCTAAGTTAACCATAAAATGGGCTTAATCATTCAAAGCCCAAAAACTTTCTCTTTCCCTCTCCATTTTAGGCCCAAGCCCACAAAGAAGGGAAGAGTTGACTTTGTGGTGCCAACTCATTTTTACCTAATGGATTTCCATGCAAAACTCTCATACTTCCATGAAATAATCCCATCACCCTATCTCTTCTTATCCCTCTCTTCCTCTCGTCCGAACTCAAACCAACACACCCACACATCACTCAAAAATTCACTCAAGAAGCTCTCTCCATTTCTCCCTAAATTTTCGAGATCTAAGGGACTTTCAAACAGATTCTTCCACAAAAATCATCATCCAAGGTAAGTTGATGTATGATCCATGCTTTAACTCACTTCTTTTCATCAAAAATCATCCCTTAATCCATTTAAGTTCATGATCTTGCCTCTTAGAACCCACTAACTTCGAGATCCATCCAAGGAACTCGCTAGGGCCGAAAATAGCACCAATCTTCTTCCAATCTTCTTCACAAACCAAAACTACAACTCAAGGTGAGTTTCATACCCCGTTCTTTTCGGTTTTCATGAGTTTTATGGGGGAGAATACAAGAAAATGTGTAGATCTATATGTATGTGTATGCTATGTGTGATTTTATGCATGTATGTGTGTGATTTCATATGTTTTTGTGATGAATATGTTAACAAAAGGGGTGTAAACCCGAGATCTATGGCATGAGAAAGGAATAAAACATAATCTAAGATATTTTACACCAAACAAGTTAATAATGATAGCTTATAAGGTTATGATGAACATATTCTAACATAAAACCCATTTTAGGATTTCAAATTGTTAAAAATACAAAACTTGGGTTACAAATAGACAAGTCACTATTTCTTGAGGGTCAAAAGTGTCAAAATAGTTTCTATAATCAATTTTCTGAATACTAAAATTTTCAAGGGACTTAAAATGTAAATTTTGAGCTTAATGGGCTAATTATGGGCTTTTCGGCCCAATATGCCTCAAAATGCGAAAAATGACAAATGTTAGGGCTGAAATGAAATTTTCTATAAAACAGGGGGTAAATAGCATAACAAAGTCATTTTAAGAGTCAAAAATGCTTTTACTATAAAAAGGACCAAAAATGTAAAGTTTTTAGAATTTTGGGCCAAAACTGTAAAAGTTGTGAAAAATGGGGTTCTAACCAAGAATCATCATTCTGGGAGGGCTGAAGCTCTCCACAAAATAAATTTTGGGTTAAAACTGTGTTTTCATCAAATAAATGATACAAAAGTGTAAAGAGAATGTTTTAAGGACTAAAAATGAAATTCTTTTATATAAAAGGACCAAAAGTGTTATTTTTATAAAAGAAGGGTAGTGAAGGGGTTAAAACCCACTTTTAAACAAATTAATTCACTAATACAAAATATGAAACGCACAAACTACTGACGATACGAAAAACAAATACAATTTCAACAACAAATATCTTTACAAACGAAGTGATTCGGTCTCCAATCAATACAAAACAACAAGCGTTGAATAAAACCATCTAAATGAATATGTGATAACTACGATGAGCAAATTTACAAAATTTGAGCTCGGAAGTTTCAAATCATTCTTGTTGGGCCTTGCTAGCCCATTAACATTATCTTTGGGCCCAAAGAGAATTTGCTTATGTGCTATTGGGCCTCCGATGACCCAATTTCATGTAAAAGGACTTTCAATGGCTATGATGTGCTATTGGGCTCTAGTGGCCCATTCGTATTGCTAGTGAGGTCAAGAAATCAAATGCGAGTTGGGACAACGTGCCTTTCACATTCCCGACAGCCTAAATAACTCACGGAAATAACTGGACTTCGTACTCCCCTTTTCCTCGTTTGTTAGGCTTACGAGAAATCAAGGTAAACAGATTTAGGATGTTAATCAAACGTAATCATGGTTGTTGGATTAAGTGAGTAGTAATGGGCGATGCCATTAAGGATCGTTCGAAACCTGTAGTTATAAACTAGTCATTTTCTAATGCATGATTATAACGACTCACAAACCCTAATTAATCCAACGCTACGCGAGAAATCAAAGATCATTCGTCGTGACGGTATAACAATTGAGAAATCATTGTAATTTATGTATTGGGAAAACATCGGGTTTTCCTGGGAAGTTCAGCATCATCACTTGAGCAATTAATACTAAAGTTCAATATTTATACACGTTTTAAAATCAACAAGCATATATTTACGGATCTTCACACTTTTTATAAACAATGATCTTTTCAGAAAATATCGGATTTTCTGGGTTTTACAAACTACTCAAAATCATTTTATCACAACATTACTTCTGAACTCACCAACATTTCATATGTTGACGTTTTTCAAAATTAACTTGTATTCTCAGGTAACAGGTAAACCGAAGAATAAGTACCAAGTAATGTCAGAGTGTTTTGTGTATGATATCTATTAGATAATTATGTTATGAATTTGTAATGTTTAAAACAAAGTAATGGATGTAAACAATACCAGTTGAATTATTTTCATGCATGGTGATGACTTATGTTATGATTCATTATATTCATTGTGATGGTATTCAATTTAAGTCACAAGAGCCCTCGGACATTTCCGCTGTCTGGTTCGGGGGTGTGACAGGTTGGTATCAGAGCCAGGTTTATAGTGAACTAGCATATGTAACCATACATTGATATGCAACTATAAACCAAAAAGAGGGACTAACACAACTCTGAACAAAACAAGTAAAACACAACGATAAAAACATCTTTGCTTGTGTGCATTAGGAAAAAGAACATAATAACCAAATCAAAAAAGATAATGCTAGCATCTCAGTTAAGCCAAGACTGTTCAAAGTCGTATCTAGGAGTTGATGTAGCCTGATCAACTACATTTCCTCCGAGGCACAACTATCACATGTCCTGAGGAAATCGTGATGGCTAGGGACCCTAAAAACATACCCCTTTATCACCAATAATAGAACATCAGCTCGATCTATACAATTATTATAGCGCCTTAGGAATAATGTTAGCATATTTACACACTCTCGCAGACAGCATGGCTGGTTTCCACCATCCCGGAGACCCTTATTTTACAAACCAAGGGAATAACGGATGATTGGACGAAGAACCTGAAGAAGAGCCCGAGGAAGACCCCGAGGAGTAATACGACGGGGAACCCGAAGCAAAAGTTGAGG